GTACCATTTACCAGAAAACTAGTGGTGCATGGCATTGTATCTTAAGCTAAATTGCTGCAACTTCCCGTACCGAAAATTAAATAAAATTTTCAAAGCAATCGCGCTGAGTCAGCCGCGTAGAGACGAAATATCGAGTGCAGAAGCGCCAAGTTGCATACTAACGATTTCTCTATGAAATACCAAAATAATTTTGAAATAGATTTAAAAAAAAAATTATTGGTTCTCCAAAACCGCTAGATCCGCCTTTCTAAAAAAAATAATCAGTTCTTCCTTTTGTCAATACAAATACGTCAATACGTTCTTTGTGCCATGTAAACCGGACGTTCCGCAATCTCCTTAATTGAATTACCATTTTCTAACTTCCCGTAGGGTAAGTTATTGTAATGGGCCGAAAATCGAAGTTGAAAATTTTTACATTTCTCGACGTTTTGAAGGTTTCTGAACGTTTTTGCATACTTCAGAAAAAATTGATGTGTGTGTGTGTATGTATGTATGGATATAAATTTCCAGTCACGTTTTCGGGCGCACGGATCAACCGATTTGAATGGTTCAAAAAACATTCGATTCCTATTGATAGGGAGAAGAGCTGATTAGTTTTTGGCAAAGGCAGGCCCAGCCATTTCGAAGATACGGCTGGGTAATACGTAAAAAATGGCAGTTTTTGAGAGAACTAAGCGTCCGATTTGAATGATTTAAAGAACTTTCTGCTTGTCTTAACAAAATAATTGATTTTGAAAAAAAAATTTTTGTTTCAAACTTTTTTTTTTCAAAAAAATTTTATTTGTATATTGAAAATAATTCAGATTTTATTTTTAATTCTGACTATAGTTCTAATATACTTTAAATAAATAATTTCAACTTTGCAATTTAGTTTATATATTTGTTATAAATATTAGACAATGTTACAATATTAAAATAATCTATTTGAAAACATTCAGTATTCCTCGAACATTTTGTTACGGTACGGGAAGTTCCAGCAATTTGTCTTAAGGCCATATATCCCACTAGTTACACTTTTGCTCCATATCTAATAAATGGTCAGACCTGCCTTTGCCAAAAACTAATCAGAGCGTCCCCTTATCAATAGGAATCGAGAATTATCCAGATCGGTTGAACCGTGCGCCCAGAATAGTGGACGAAAAATTGTATCCAAACATACATACACACACACAGGCATACATAAATGTTTGTAAGGGATGCCAAAATATTTGAAAACCTCTGAAACGTAAAGATATGCAAACATTTTTTGCGATTACTATAACTTACCCTACTGGAAGTTAAGAGACTCAGCGTAACATAACGTTGCCATAACATTGGGTTATTTTACGACATAATTGGCCTATAAATATTTGTCTATGCATAAGATAGTTAATATAATTTCGATCATAGGTATTGGATAGACCGAGAGACTGCAGTTCACGTGGACCAGCGCATTCAGCGTGGCTTGTTCCTCTTCGCCTGCGCCAACTCCTGCGCCAATCCCATCGTCTACGGCGCCTACAACATCCGCGCCAAAAGGCAGCAGACGCAGCTGATCGTCAACAGGGTGCACGATAGATCAGGATCGGTGCCCAGGCTCAGCTCGTCTGGTGCCCAGGCGATCTTGGCCATGAACCAGGTGAGAAGGGACAGCGAATCATTTGTTCTTCAGCCCATTTTGAAAAAGACCAACGATAATGGAACTGGTAAAGAACATTTGATGATAGCGGATAAAAATCCGTTGACAGGGAAATTAAGTCTGACCTTAAGGGAAATTGAATAGTAGTAATAGAATTTTATTCTCTGATAAATTGCAGTACAAAATAGTTTTTTGGCTGATGTATCTTTGACAAATATGTATGGTATGCATTTGAGTTCAAAGTACTTACTAGCAAATTTTACGAATTTTTTTTTACTCTTGAATCTAGTATATTTTTTTTTTTGAATTGTAAATAATAAATCTAATTTAACGAAATTTCTTCGAAGTAATAATTTAATGTTCTCGGAATAAATAGTAATGGGTTCAAGTCGAAACAGATGTATTCTTCATAGGAAATTATTAAGACATTTAATGCTGAAATCTAAAACTGCAAATGTATTTTCATATTTCTAAATATAATTAAGATATTAATATTTTAAATCAGAAACCAAAGTTTTTTAACAAAGATTTAATTTGTACAAATATATAAGTAATTTCAATATTCTTTTATAATTATATTAGTTTATAAAATTGTAAGTTTATTTAGTTTATGTTATATTTTAAAGTTTCTTTTTTAATAGGAAAATTATATTTTTATTTTAGTTTATATATGTTTTATTTTGTTTATTTTATTTATTTTGATTATATGTATTTTATTTACTATTAAAGTTATTTTTATTTACATATTGTTTTTTATTTATAGTTTGTTTAGTTTTAATTATTTATAATTTTTTGAAGATATATAATATATTAATATATATATATATATTATATATATATATATATATTAGTGATGTTCCGACTCGAAAATTTCTTGATTCGAGTGATTCGAATCAGAAAAAAACTGATTCGAATCATGATTCGAATCAATTCGAATCAAGTTCATATATGAATTAATTATTTAAGAAGAGAAGAATAATATCATTTTAATAATAATATAAGTGAAATAATTAATTTAGTAAGCAATTAATTTCAAAAAGTGCAGAGATGAATACATTTATATTATATATAATAATAAACTAGCTACAAATATAACTAATATTTCAAGTGAATTACAATAAAATATAACCAAACACTTCTCTATCACTAAAGCATATAAAACAATATTCTTAATCTTACGTTGAACGAATGCATGTGTATATTATTGATTGTTTAGATCTAATCTAAACAGGGAGCTGAATCTAACGTTTTACGAATGACTTAAAATTCACTACTGTAAAGATTGATTTATTTGATTTGTGTGAATTTGCCATTATGCAAGTAATAATATGATAATTTTGTATGTGTATAAAACTCGTTGTGTAGTTTATTTCGATATTAATTAAAATCTAAATCGCGTATTTATTATCTAAATGAGTTTTTTATATTTCATGAACAAATTGGCTCTCAGCGCTTAGTCAAAAATAAACAAACACGCAAGTCGATAAGTCGATACGCTAAGACACAGACACATGTTTCGAACTCATATCGTTCAAGCCGCTTGAACTCGGGATGATTCGGTTTGAGTCATATAAACTCGTATGAATTCATACCGACTTGAAGTCGGGATAAGTCGGTTTGAGTCATAGGAACTCGGATAAATTCATACCGACTTGAAGTCGGGATAAGTCGGTTTGAGTCATAGGAACTCGAATCAATTCATAACGACTTGAAGTCGGGATAAGTCGGTTTGAGTCATAGGAATTCGAATCAATTCATAACGACTTGAAGTCGGGATAAGTCGGTTTGAGTCATAGGAACTCGGATGAATTCATAGCGACTTGAATGCGGTTAAAGTCATATAAATTGGAGTCGGGTGTTACATTTAAGCGTATTAAAGGCGGGTGACTCGCATGATTTAATTCAAGATTTATTTTTTATATTTATTATTATTATTTTTATATTTATTATTATTATTATTTATATTATATAATATTGAATTAAATTAAAACATTTTTTTTATATTTATGAAAATTTGTGTTCACACATGTTTTATCACAGTAAATATTTCGCGGCTTGATACGAGTTGATTCGAATCAAGTAAAATCTGATTCGAATCAAGTCGTTAAAGGCTTGATTCGAATGATTCGAATCACTTGATTCGACTTGGCACATCACTAATATATATATATATATATATATGTATATATATATTTAT